GAGGCACTGCAAAAACAGGAACAGGGCTCGGCAGATTGTTCCACTTGTTTTTTTAAACAGATACTAGTTGAAAAAAAACACTGAGTACTTTGAATAAGTATCCTTGATTTAGATTGTTAAAAGAAATGGAAAGAAAAGAAACATGATTTAAAAAAAGTATTGATACAGCTGATTTAAGTTCTATGCTATATAGCCCTGTTTTGCAAACTTGGCAGCTTCACGATGCATGGACTTCAATTCCCAGAATTCCCCAGCCTGGATGGAATTCTGGGAGTTGAAATCCACCACCTCTTAAAGTTGCTAACTTTGAAAAACACAACTATATACCCTTGAGATTGTATTTTTGGTGTGGTTTTTTTTTTTTGTTCTTTTTGTAAAAATCACATTATACAATATATTATACAATTATTATTATTATTATTACTACTATTATTAAAACATTTTCTTTATTTTTTTAAAAAAAGAAAAAGCCCAAATCTAGAAACGAGAGGTAGAACTACTCAAAACTATATTTCCTGCTGCAGGAAAAAAAAGTCATTTTTTTTTTACACTAAGTTTTAAAAAAATGTTGAAAAATTGACAAATCGCTCCCCCCACATCCCTAAATATTACAGATTAGGCTCCCATAATTTAAAACAGATAACACTTTGTCAACACAGCCGACAGCTTAAGAATCCATTTCAGCGTTACAGAATAAAAGTTGCATAAGAGCGGGTTTACACAGATGTCATAGTAATGGCGGGAAAAAAAAAGAGAGATCTGTCTGTGTGGGTTTACACCTTTTCGACTGCTTTGTCGCAAAATACAAAAGCAGAGGTGACATTAAGAGCCTGTTAAGATAGCAGCATTTTGCAGGAATTGAGAGTTATTGGGAAATTGCCTGAAAGTCAGTTTTGTTCTACTAGACACAGGGGTAGGCAACCTTGGCTCTTTTATGACTGGTGGACTTCAACTCCCAGAATTCCTGAGCCAGCCATGCTGAGGGGAAAGGGAGAGTTTCCAAGCTGAGCCATGCTGGCTCAGGAATTCTGGGAGTTGAAGTCCACGAGTCATAAAAGAGCCAAGGTTGCCTACCCCTGATCTAAATTATTCACATCTTGACATGTAATAAAGTGAAGCTTCTAGGCCAGGGGTAGGCAACCTTGGCTCTTTTATGACGCGTGGACTTCAACTCCCAGAATTCCTGAGCCAGCCATGCTGAGGGGAAAGGGAGAGTTTCCAAGCTGAGCCGTGCTGGCTCAGGAATTCTGGGAGTTGAAGTCCACGAGTCATAAAAGAGCCAAGGTTGCCTACCCCTGGTAGAGAGAAAGAAAGAGATTTAAAAAAAACAAAACTTAATATCAACAAATGCCCCCAAACGAGCAGGAGGTGGGAAACACTGATTCACATCTCAAAATAAAAACAACGGTCAGTTTTGCTGACAGTTCACCACGTTGCAATAATATATCCTTAATACTTGCACCCTCTTCTGAAAAGCAACAGACGAGGGGGCACATATATTGAGAAGGCCAAAAAGAAAAAAGAAAAGAAAAGAAATATTGGTCAGAATGAAAGGGAAAAGAAAGAGTTTGTGAGGAAAAACACCAATGGGATGAAGCGGGGAAAAGAGAGGAAAGGGAACAAAATCTAAAGGAAAAGGGATACATCCGGTGTTTGTTTGTTTTTTTTTAACCTAGATGGATAACAACAACTGAACATTTGACTAGAAAGATGACAAAGAAAAATCCAGTTCCATAAAGAGAGGCTCCCCAAATTTGGCCACTTTTAAGACTTGTGGACTTCAACTCCCAGAATTCCCCAGCCAGCATGGCATGGCTGGCTGAGGAATTCTGGGAGTTGTAGTCCACAAGTGGCCAAATTTGGAGACAAACCCCCCCCCCATAATAAAGACGCAGCAGTGAAAGTGGGTTCTGTTCCCTTGCTATTCCAAAAGTAGGTATGGTCTTCAGGGTTGAACTCTAGTCTAATCTGAGGCACAACTTCCGTCAGGATTTTGCGGAGGCCTAGAAAGAAGAATCACAAAATTATAATTAGAGATTGAACACCTCCGTGAAATGGAACACCATTGGGCTCAGGAGACCGACCGACACAGGTGTCAAAAGGAGACACTGCTATGATGTTTTGGGGGACCTGCCAGCCTTTGCCAACACCTGTCAATTATTCATGAAAGCTGACCCTCTTCTCAAGTGATTTGGGGTGGGGGGCTGTGGAGAGACCCTTGCACAGCCTTTGAACCCTCCGGAAGTCACATAAGACAGCTCTTACAGGTTCTCCGGAGTTTCTGAAAAGCATGGAGAACCGGCTGTGTTTTGTGTGGTTTTGGAGGGCTGCAGAAGCCACAGACTCTGGAACCTTCCGGAAGTCTCACAAGATGGCCATTTTATCCTTCCAAATTCTGAAAAACAGCTGAGAATGGGGGCATATATTCAAATTCAATGAAGAACATTCTCCAAAGCTACTTCCAGAACAAAGGCCTTGTGTAACCCAGAGCTGTCTTAATTTATATATATATATATATTTTAAGTATAGGTAGTACTTGACTCACAACCATTCATTTAGTGACTGTTGGAAGTTGCAACAGCACTGGGGGGAAAAGTGACTTAGGACCATTTTTCACACGTTCACAACCCTTGCAGCATCTTTTCAAGGTCACATGATCAAAATTCAGCCGCTTGGCGGCTGACTCATGTTTACGACGGTTGCGGGGTCCCGGGGTCCCACGATCCCGCTTTTGTGACCTTCTGACAACCAAAGTCAATGGGGAAGGCCAGATTCACTTAACGATTGTGTGACTAACTTAACAACTGCAGCGATTCGCTTATAACATCTGTGGCAAAAGAGGTCGTAAAATGAGGCAAAACTCACTGAACAACTGTTCTTGCTTAGCAATAGAAATTTTGGGCTCGGTTGTGGTCCTAAATTAAGGACAGGGGTCTTCAAACTTGGCCCTTTTATGACTTGTGGACTTCAACTCCCAGAATTCCTCAGCTAGCGTGCTTGGCTGAGGAATTCTGGGAGTTGAAGTCCACTCCTCTTAAATCTATATCAGGGGTCTTCAAACCTGGCCCTTTTATGACTTGTGGACTTCAACTCGCAGAATTCCTCAGCCAGCATGTCTGGCTGAGGAATTCTGGGAGTTGAAGTCCACAAGTCATAAAAGGGCCAAATTTGAAGACCCCTGGTCAAGAACTTACCTGTAAAATGCAATAAATCGCATGAGAATTTTAAGCCTGTTAGAAATTCTCTGAAGTTTACTCTTAAATTTATTGAAGATACTATTCTGGATGAAAGCAGTTTGAAACAGGTATCCTGGTATTTTCATTAGGGATATGTATGTATGTATATGTGTACAGTATGTGTGTGTGGATAAAATCTGGAAATTCCCAAAGAGACTTACCTTGGCATATAGGAATGGAAGTGAGGAATTTCATCAGCATGATGTATGGCGTTCAAGGAATGTTGATTTTTCTTCTGTTATTAAAAAAAACAAACATTTTACTTAGAAAGCCCAACCCTCCTTTTCTATAGGAAGAAACACACATGACTGAAATAAAACTTTATGTTACTTTTCTGGTCTGATTATATTAATTCCTAATGTACTTTAAACAGAAGCTAATAACATTCTCAAAATAAACCAAATATGACATGGTAGTAAAGCAGCCCTTTATATACAGACTATGGCACCTCACTGCCTTCCCTTACATATTTCCTGCTCTGATGGACTTTTTAAATTTTGAAATATGATTTTAATCAGAGGAAAGGTGACATGCTTCAAACCCAAAGAGCCAGCCTTCAGATTTTAAAAAATGATTAATTCTTTTTATGTACATTATGATTGCCATTTTTGACTACATTTTGCAGACCTTTGCAACAGATTTTTAAGATATTCTGAGAAAATGGAAACAGCGAGAAAGAAAGAAAGAAAGAAAGAAAGAAAGAAAGAAAGAAAGAAAGAAAGAAAGAAAGAAAGAAAGAGACAAAGGAGAAGGAAGGAAGGAAGGAAGGAAGGAGAAAGAAAGAGGAAGGAAGGAAGGAGAAAGAAAAGGAAGGAGAAGAAAGAAAAAGACAAGAAAGAAAGAAAGAAAGAGAGAGAGAGAGAGAGAGAGAAAGGAGAAGGAAAGAAGGAAGGAAAGAAGGAGAAAGAAAAAGGAAGGAGAAAGAAAAGGAAGGAGAAGAAAGAAAAAGACAAGAAAGAAAAAAAGAAAGAAAGAAAGATAGATTTAAATCGAAAGAAGGGGAGACAGGGACAAGATAACCATAGAGGTCTGAAATAGTCTTCTAAGGGGCCAGAGAGAGAGTTGAGAAATCTACTATATTAATTTGCCATTATCAAGCTATTTTTTTCTAAATAATCAGTGATCCTTTTTGCAAACAGAATGCTTTTTATATGCTGCAAATCAGAAGATTAGACATCAGGAAAGTAAACCCCAGGGAAAAAGAAAGCATGCAGATCCACATGTGCACATGTGGAATAAATATATTATTATTATTATTATTATTATTATTATTATTATTATTATTATTATTATTATTATTATTATTATTATTATTATTTATTGAATTTATATACCGCCCTATCTCCCTTACGGTACTCAGGGCGGTGAACAGGCAATAATAAAAACCACAATAAATATACACAAGTTTCTGTTCTAAAATCAAATTAAATAACAGGCCTGCTCTAAAAGTACCCCATATAAAACCCGCACTAAAACATAATCAAACTACGCCAGGCCGGCCGCATGGAATAGATGGGCCTTCAGGGCTCGGCGAAAAAGGCCCATCTATATATATATAGAGAGAGAGGGAGAGAAGTCAAAGAATGCAGGAAAAAAAGAAAAAACAGGATGAAAACCTCTACAGAACAAGATTTTTTTAAAAAATAATAATAATATTGTTTTAAGTACACACAGACATAGAAGGATGTCTATATCAATTCTATGTCTGCTCCGTTTTGGAAACCGCAATTCCGACTGACGCAAGCATGCGAGGGGTTAGTAGTGCTACTCACTCTCAGTAGGTTTCTCATCATTCAGGAAGGGCTGCTGTTCCATGATGTCCATTGGAATTTTAATACTGGGCACGTTTTCCGTGAACGGACAGTCAGACTGCGAAGAAAACAGGTGCAGCAAGTCTTAGATTTATTTTTTTTTTAAAAAAATGTTCATGTTCTTATTCAGCATAATTTATTTTCATTTTCTTGCTTCGGACAAGAGTTTAAGGACCATAAAGGATAGTAAAAACTTCCTTCTCCGCGTCTGAAATTTTAGCAGTGTTGACATCTGTATCCTACGGGTTGTTCTCAACTTGCAACCATTCATTTAGTGGCCACGGCGCTGAAAACCTATGACTGGTTTTCACACGTACGACCGTTGCGGCATCCCCATGGTCACATGATCAAAATTCAGACGCTTGGCAACTGGCATGTATTTTTGACAACTGCAATGTCCTGATCACTATTTGTGACTTTCCCGACCGGCTTTTGACAAGCAAAGTCGACGGGGGAAGCCGGACTCACTTAACAGCCACTTGTTTCACTTAATAACTGCAGTGATTCACTTAACAACTCCAACACAAAGGCCATAAAATGGGGGAGATCTTGCTTAGCCACAGAAATTGAGGATTCCACTGTGGTTGTGAGTTGAGGACTATTGCAGAAATGCAATATCCACGTGTTGTGATTCCTCGCCAGCCAGTGGACCCGGCAGCTGAGTCTGAGGAGGAGGAGGAGGAGGAGGAGGAGGAGGAGGAGGGGGCGCCTGGAGTGACATCAGAGTCATAGGAAGGCTCTGAGGAGCTCCAAGACTTACAGTCGGACGAGGAGCCTGGCCCCTCTACTCGCGCTCAGGCTGAGACACAGCTGTGCTGGGAGTCTGAGTTGGACAGTGATGAAGAACAGCTGGGACAAATCCAGGATGCACGAAAACGCTAGCATGAAAAGAGAGTAGGACAGAGGAATGCAATGGGGCGGCTCCAAAGGCAAAGGAGAAGGCATTAGGAAGCCACGCCTTGGCTGAATTATAAAAAGGAAGGTGTGGGAGGTGCTGGTTGCCGAAGGCAACCGTTCGTGTTGAGGATCAAGTTTCTGTGAACTGTGTTTGTTTGCCTTGGACATTTTACTCAGGTCTGTGAATAATAAAAGGGGAATTGGTTTTTTCCTGCGGTTCCAGCCTGCTTGTTGGAAGAGGGGTTTCTCCTTATGAGCTTAACAAGGACTCACGTAGGCTGGGACAGAACAGCACACTCCCCTCAGTCTTAACGAAAACCAATCTCGTTGCCCATTATATCTCGGGGGGGGGGGGTCACTAAAAACCACACCAACACAACTTAAGTGAGGTGGGATGTTACAATGGGAGGACATATAAACAGTCATGGCTCTTCTCTGCTCTTACAAGTTAGTCAAGGTAAAGATGTCACCTCTCATTTGAAAAGAGCAAGCGTGCTTACATCATCGTTGTCACTATCTAAGCTGCCCTTCTTTTTCTTTTTCTTCTTCTCGTCTTCTTTCTTCTTCTTGTCTTTTTCTGGAATGACGTCGTCAAGGAAACTGAGATCATGCTGGGAGAAGACATAATCCATCCCTTTTCGGACGGCTACGAGTGCAAGGATCTGTGGAGACAGAATTCAACATTCCATTATTGGTATATAGGTATTATAGGTGATATTACCGCTTTGTAATGCCCTGGTAAGGCCACGCGTGGAATACCGCATCCAGTTTTGGTCACCACAATATAAAAAAGATGTTGAGACTCTGGAAAGAGTGCAGAGAAGAGCAACAAAGATGGTTGAGGGGCTGGAGGCTAAAACATATGAAGAACTGTTGCTGGAATTGGGTATGTCTAGTTTAATGAAGAGAAGGACAAGGGGTGACATGATAGCAGTCTTCAAATATTTGAGGAATTGCCACAGAGGGAGACAAGCTATTTTCCAAAGCACCTGAAAGCAGGACAAGAAGCAATAGATGTAAACTAAATCAAGGAGAGAAGCAACCTAGAACTAAGGAGAAACTTCCTAACAGTGAGAACAATTAACCAGTGGAACCACTTGCCACCAGAAGTTGTGGGTGCTCCAACACTGGAGGTTTTTAAGAAGATATTGGACAACCATTTGTCTGAAATGGGATAGGATCTCCTGCTTGGACTAGATGACCTCCAAGGTCCCTTCCAATTATGTTACCTTCCAACTCTGTCATTCTGTATTTTTTCACCTCAATTTTCTACCTTCTTTGCCATACCGGGTCCAGCCTATTTTTGCTTAACAACCGTGGCAAAAAAAAAAAAGGTGCGACTTATTTAACAACCGCCTTGCTGAGCAACAGAAATTCTGGTCTTAAATTGTGGTTGTCAGTCAAGGGCTATTTGTATGAGAAATCATCCTGAATACGTGCTCAAAGCCCCTAACTAAAACATTACAAGAATGGTGAACAGATCGATCTCTTTAAAAGCACAATACCCAATGAAAGTCCACTTATAGATCTCCCGTTTGATGTTCGTTTGTTCTCTGTTACTTTGCCTAAGCAGGAACATAAACATCTCACCTCCAAAAAGTTGCAGCTTTGCTTCCATTTTGCCGAGGGAGAAGAAAGGAAAACACAGCAGGAATTGCTTAGGGCAGAGATTTCTGCACCCAACCTTTTGAGGAGTTTGTGAGTTTGGAGAAAATGCACATGAAAACATGACTAGGCAATTGAATACTAGTCTTTAGATCAGGGCTTTTCAACCAGTAGTACAGGTACCACCTGTGGTACATTGGCACCTGGCAGGTGGTACACGACCATCCTAGAAAAGTGGTAGCGGGGGAGGGGAATGAGCTGAACCGGTGGCAGCACCGCACAAGCCTGAGCGAGAGATGGCTGGAGCTGCAGGGCTGTCAGGGCTCAGCGGAAGCGCCAGGATCAACGCTTCTTCGGGGCTGTCAGGGCTCAGTGGAAGCGCCAGGATCAGCGCCAGGCTCCAGCTGGAGCTCGGCACTGATCCTGGCGCTTCTGCTGAGCCCTGAAGAAGCACCGATCAGCTGGAATGTTGCAGCATCTCCAGGGTCTTGTGATTTACCTTCAGATGCTTGGCAACTGATTCATATTTATGACGGTCACAGTGTCCCAGGGTCATGTGAAGTGACCAAAACCTGCTGCAACCACCCAGCAGACGGGGGGAATAAAAATCAAACACCCCCCCACCCCACCCCCACTGCCAATCCTCAATAGAAATGCTCACAACAATGAAAACCTCGGACAGGAGGAAGAGCGCCGCAGGCAGGTATCTTGCTTGGCTGTGCCTTGGGGGGCACTTTTTCCAGTGCCATTGTAACTTCAAACAGTCACTAAGCGAACTGTTGTAAGTCAAGGACTACCTGTACCTTATCACTTTTTTCCTTTTTTTTTTTTTTGGTCATCAAGTTTTTGACCCCTTGCTAGGCGACTGGTGGTTCTCGGATGTTGCCATATCCTAAAAGTGGTACAATGGGTGAAAAGGTTGAAAAGCCCTGCTGTAGATGGGCAATGCATCCATAGCAGAAAACGAGAAACACAGGAGGGCAAAGACAGTGGGTATCAAAGCTAAACAATCAGTTGTGATCCTGGAAGATTTAGAACCAAATCAAACTTTGCTATAAAAAGGTTTCAGAGTATGAAGGGCATTAAAGTCATGGTTGTCCCAAAGGCGCTTTTTTCAGGAGGCAACTGGACTTTCTTGTTTTTCTTTGAAGACGTTTCGCTTCTCATCCAAGAAGCTTCTTCAACTCTGACTGGATGGTGGGGAATGGAAGGATTTATACACCTTGCAGTCAGCCGGCTTGCAAATGGGTGTGAAGCCTTCTTGGAACTGCTGAAAGGACAGAGTAGACTGGAGATAGATGGTGTCGTATCCCTCACCCTCTGTTGAGAGACGGATGTTCAATTTTGACACAGGTGGCCTCTTTGAAAGAGTGGTCAAAGGGCTTCTTGGATGAAAAGCGAAATGTCTTCAAAGAAAAACAAAAAAGTTCCAGTTGCCTCATGAAAAAGCATCTTTGGGACAAGGGCATTTGAAGATTTATAATTATAAAAATAGACACAAAAGAGATGACCGCTGTAAGCGAAATCTGGGGAGCTGAATTTAGACCCCAATTTAGGCCCTGAAGGGATTCTGATCCTAAAGTTTAAGTAAGGGAAATTACCAATTCCTGAAAATATGTCTGGAAGTTAAGTCATGGCTAAATGGACTTCTTTTCTTTTTTGGTTTGAAACGTTTCTTCAGACTGAGGAACCTACTTGGATAAGCAGTGAAATATTTCGAACCGACAAAAAAAAAGGAAGTCCAGTTGACGTGTCTCAACTTCTGGACAGCTCTACCTGGATGACTGAGAATCTTTATCGACATATTTTTCCTGTAAATAGATTTGGGACACAGCGCTGGATATCTCCAGAGTGTGCCGCGGAATGCAGTTGTGACAATTTCCACCTACCATGACTGGGAATATGATAGCAGCGACGGTGGACTTCAAGATCCAAAGGAGAGCCAAGCACAGTGCCTGAAGGAAGGTGAAGAGATGGACTCGGCGGAGGGGGACATGTCGCAGGTAGATAAAGTCAGGCTGGTGCTTGAGAGGCATCAGGAGCAGCTTCAGGCGATCCATGAACTGAGGTGGAGAAAGGATCGTTCTAAGGTGCCATCATGATGTAGAAAGAGCAAGTGATAAACTTTATTTCTAGAACAAGTGATCCCCCTTCTTCCATCTATTATCACCGTCTCTCCCTCAAATTATCGAGGAGAGGAACAGAGAGAGAGGAGAGGGGAGGGGAGGAGAGGAGGGGAGGGGAGGAGAGAGGAGGGGAGGG